AGTTTGTGAAACTGATTTTTAATATTTAAGAAACAAGGCAAACTAAATTTAAAACAAAATAACAATAACTTATAAATTTATGACTTTTATTAATTTAATTGAAAGAATTCATTACGGACTCTTATTGACCTTAATATAAATAAAACACATGAAAAGATAAATTTAATCTACTTAATTATGGAATAAGCTCATATTTTTACAGAGTGTGTGGCTCATAATTGCTATGTTATTTGATATTTAATAAAAATATTAAAATATAAAAGTATACTTATTTTAATTTTGAGTTTTAATTAAACAATGTTAATTAAAAATTAATTAAAATATTAAAGTAATTTCCACTCAAACACATTTTAATATGAATCGAATTGCACGGGCAAGCCAATGTGAAAATAAAACTTGTTTAACGTAAAGGCTTATCAGCTGGACAGTTATTTTCATAAAGTCAATGCAAACACACAAGTTCGAAACATAAGATAAAATGCAAGACTGTCCTAAGAATACATTTGTATTTTTGTGGAAAATAGTTTAGGTAATATTGAGTTTTTGGTTTTGCATTTATCACTTAGGTCTCATGCAGCTGCCGTGGGGCTGGTTAGTGCATTAATTTTTGTTGTCGAATTTCAGAGCAACACTTAACGCAACGTCGAGTTCATTTTTTATGTATCGCATGTAATTAAAAAACATTAACACGACAACAACAACAACAACAATGACAACACGACAGACACTGCAACAGGGGGAACAACAAGAGCGTTGACATTAATGCCAGCCACAAAGTGCAGGGCGGTCCACAATGCAATAAAACAGATAAACAGAGACGCATAAGAGATATGCACACCATACACACACACTCACACTCACACAAAATCACATATACACATACAAACTGGCAAATGACAAGTGAGCTGCAGCTGTCTGTTGCACTTGTCAATCAAATGCACAGATGTGCCGTCAACAATGCCGGCTCCTCAAAACGCGCGCGCGGCTGCCGACAAGACGACGAAATGCCGTTATGTGCTACAATTTGCTTTTCGTTGCTTTGCTCGCGATCCAGTCAACCGCTCGCCGGCAAGTTTTCCATAAGACTGAAAACACAATTTTTCTATCCGCAACACAATTTTTCATTCACGCATTTCGCCGGTTAGCCCAACTGTGCGTTCGGCCGAACCAAAAAGCTTAGCGGCTAGAGAGCTTTAGACGAAAAGTTTATTCAGCTCTGCATTCGGCTATTCATTCGTTGTGGCGCGCAAAGCACGGCACGAGCTTTTGTGAATGGCGAACAACAAAACGTTTTACTAATTGAGCATGCCAAGTGCCATGCGAGGGGCTCGAGCGGTAGGCCAGCTGCTTGAACAAAGCGTGCGTAAAAATTGAATTTGTCTGATTAGAATACAGGGTGCTTCGAGTGACTGGCTCTTGAAGAGCTGCGGAATACTCTTTCGCGATTAATGACAAGCATTCAAATATTATCGAATTTTCCTTGTAAGGCTTCCACATTCCCCCAGTTTAAGTTTTTATATAAGAATGATAAATATATGTATACTCCAACTGATCATGCTTAAGAGGCTTTGAAGCTTCACAAATCAAATTAATTCTGATCATACCATTAAATTTCTTATTGCTGATATACAAGGAGCTGGTGGCTTTAAGAATTACAATTTGGCTATACATAAATGCCTGTATAAATTATGAATATAAATTATCAATAATGCTGTATTAAATCATATGAAAACAACCAGATATAACTGATTTATTCCCCATAATTGTCTCCGTAATGTAGAGAAAGTATTTTAAAACTAACTGCTGCCATTAGAGTTGTTCGAAAAGGCCATCTGATCAGCTACAACACTTCCGCAAGGCGTCTCAAAGAATCAATTCATTGTTAATTACAAGTTCAATTGGTAAACTACCGAAGCTGTGATACCTTACTTTGATGAGAAATATAATTTTCATTAAATGGAAATGATAAAATTATACATAGGTACTAATCAAAATTCTAATCTATGACATAGATCACATTAGCCATCGTCAATAATTCACAACGAATTTCTTAAGCTTCATGCAAGAGTGTACAAACAGCTACTTGCTCGTTTTTGACTGTCAAGTGTAAATTGTAAATTGTCCCACATGAGTATAGATGTTTTTTGTTGCTGTTGTTGTTATTTTTGCTATAAGTGGAGTTTAATCAGGGAAACATTTGCCAGCGACACTCGAAACGAGTTGCTTTGCTTCATTACTCAATACGTCACTGCTGCTAAAAATCCCACAAAATACTAAAAGTTGAAGAAGATGAAGTTTTGATTTTTCAAACTTTCGGAATAAGACAATGATTCGCAAACTGAGCATAATTAAATGCGTCACATTGGGGAACTTCACGATTGGCCCGAGTCTCTGGAAACGTAATTGAATCACGAAAGGGGAATAAAACAGATTACAATCTCTTTGGATCTAGGTTATTTGTTATTTGTGCGTTATGGGATATTAATTTTAACGCCAGTTTTTTAACACATTTACCGTAGCCATTTTAATTGGTGTTGTGCTAAACTAATTCATTAGCAATTAATTGATTGTCAAATTGATAACTGTCATGCAATTGATTGTCAATTGTATGTAGTGCTCTATTAGGAAGTGCCTGACTAGAATATACCCTTAATCCTATGATTGCAATTATCTAACGAATCTTTTTTATGTCTAAACAGGGTATAAATACATATATTCATTAGCTAAACAAGCTAACTTCAAACCACAAAAGACGGGTTTGAGTTCTAATCGCGCTGAAACTCCCCTCTCTCGCGTCCCATAACAGCCAAGCACAAGGCCGGTTCCATTTAAAACTTGATTAATAGCCAACAACCATATCCTATTCTCGTAAAATATGGTTAGCTATAAATCGTGCTTGCATTTCAGACTCAATTGTGAACAAATAAGAAAGTGATTTTATGTTAAAAATGCTCAGAATTGTATTGCCAAAAAACTTTATTGAAAATATTAAAAATTTAATAAATGTGAGCATAACAAACAGTTATTCCTTATTGCTATGTGTGCAATTGTTACTTATAGAGGTTTATTATTTTCTCTATTTATGTCTTATTACGGCACAGCTATTCGTTACAATGTCCTTCTCAAGAATAAATGTTTTAGAATACGTTGCTTACATGCCAAAGAACAGCCATTGTGTCTCACCCATCAATCGTATAAAATCCAATCAAATCATCGAGTCACTAATAAATCAAGAGTCTATGCAAATGCCTCACACGCATTCATAGACTTTTGCCGATCTTCAGTGTTATTATCTTGAAAGAAGATTTATCTATGTATTTATTCATTATTTATAAATTAATAACATATTATTAATGTACATAGTATTATAGTATAAATATATGATCAATTTTAAGTCAACTCATATGATGCGGCAACTCGCTTATAACATTATGCAAAAATCTAGCCAGTTTGAAGCTTGTCTTAGGATGGACTTTGCTTCTCCTTTAGTATATGAGGCTTGAGATCTATCTAACTGTATGTCTGCCTCTCTGAGCAAGCGCTTTGACCAGATAACAAACTTGAGGATTAGTGGACGTGAATCATCCATAAAACGGAAGCTGACTCTTGACCAGAATGTGAATCAATTAACACTTTAGCCAGGTTTCAATCTTGTTGACAACTCTGTTAATAATGCATAGCACTTTTATGAATAGAAAGATTTGCCATAAATCACAAGTAGTGCAAAGCATGTAAGAGTTCTCTTTCGCTGTTTGAGTGTTTGACTAGGAAATACTCTGAACACTGTGTAAGACAGCTGTTCCGATCATTGTAGGCTTGTCGTATATTTGTATATATTAATATTCCCGGCCCAGACTAGTTCTACTCAGCCTGCGATGTGATCATGAATTGATGAATTTTGATGAGGTGTGTCGCGCCTCTTAATGCATGTTCTACATACACATTTTCACAAAAATATACTCTGAATCTCTCTGATAATGGTTGCATTTGAGTTGACTTGGATAAGCCAAACGAAGTATTCGAACCCCGTCTCATATGGGCTTAGCTCACACACACGCACACGGTAACATTCACACTATATAACAGCTCCCTATGCTAATTTCAGCTGGCTAGATCACTTAGCTTCCTGAACTTAACTGCAATCAGTTTTGGATTGCCGCGTGTAACCAATAAACCAAATTTCGTGCAGACAGATTTGATTGAACTGTGGACACGTTATGTTTGTTTCTGTTATTTTTTTTATTTCCTCTTAGAAGATGGAAAAATCGATGTGACATATATCGAAAGCTGTAATACTTAAAATATATAAATTTAAGTACTACACTTTTCGTATTTGTAATTCCCAAAATTTGTAGTATGTGACTTCTTTGTTATCGCCAGGGATAGTAAGCGACTTGGTACTGCGGTAGAGGAGCACCTCTTCTTCCAGCTTAATGAACGCCACTCATGTCACCTAATTCCCATCTGCCATCTAAGCACTATCGCTATGCTTGCGCTGCCACAGCTGTCGATTGTGAAGGGCCAGCAGCAGGATTACGTGCCCCGGGGGCTGCATCGCATCATCGAAGAGCAGCAGCTGCGCCACGCCGACAGTGTGGCGCTCATCTATGACCACGGCCAGGAAGAGAGTTCGGCCAGCCAGAGCACCTATCGCCAGATGAACGAGAGCGCGAATCGTGCCGCACGCCTATTCGTCGAGGAAGCTCAAAGATGTTTCCTTCAGCCAAACAGCGATGGTGACTTCATTGTGGCCGTTTGCATGCAACCATCGGAGGCGCTGGTCACCACATTACTGGCCATTTGGAAGGCGGGCGGTGCCTATCTGCCCATCGATCCGAGCTTCCCGGCTAATCGTGTCCATCACATATTGCTAGAGGCTAGACCGATTCTAGTA